AAGGATTTCCAGCATGTTCTCGGCTGCGTTCCGTTTGGCCACCTTTTTATTGGTGCCGGATCCTTCAGCCGTGTGGTTTCCGACCTTCACCTGCAGAAGGAAATGAGGACACAGACCACCGCCTGAGCCTTCAGGGTAATGGATTTACCCTGGTAATCAAAATAAAACAAGCAGTGACCAGAAGCTACAGGGCTAACTAAACATTGTGAGCTAGAACTTGCTGACCTGGAGAGCAGATTATGAAACACGTAGAAACAGTTGTGCTGGGAAGCCACGATGGATAATTATGAAATAAATAAATGCTTCCTAAGACAAAGGTAGTAAGTACTCAAAACTCTCCACTTCTGATTTGACTACATCTGACTCTTATTAATGCTTTCGTGTATTTCCACATCTGTGGTCTCCATACGATGGAGATACCGTAAAATGGTGTGCTGCTGGGCACCTCCCAGGTGGGTTCAGCAGCACTGCTCTGGCTGGACACTGGCCACGGTGGCAGGAGTCACACCAGGGACCAAGAGCTGTGTAAGATCAAGACGTTGTTTTATTAATTTAAAAAAGTGTAAAAAGGTTAATTCTGATTAAACTGCAAAGTCTATCAAGTCTGTAGCTATGACACTGTTGCTGAAATATCCTTCAAGCATTCAACATTATCACAAAGTTCAGCAGGAGCTCTAACATGCGGCTGAGTTCCAACATAAAACTGTTGTGTTTACTTTCATCTCATTTAGAATATAAAGAAAACCACCAACCAAGAGACATACTGGCACTACATTCAGATGTTAATATAATGTCAGCAATTTCCTTGTGGTCCTGGGTAGCACTAACAAGTGCATCTGCAGTCAGATTTTATACCATTATTGTTGGTGACAGGAGCTCTGGTGGCCTAGTAACAAGAAGCTGCACTGCAATCCCAAAGGCACACGGTTGGAACCCACCAGCTGCTCCATGGGAGAAGGATGAACAGTTCTGTACCGTGTGACTTACTGCCTCTGAAAACACTCGAGGGGCAGCTATGAGTCGGTTCTGACTAGACGGCACTCAACAACTACTGTTACCGAGTCACACTGAAATTTTTACAGGTGTATATAAAATTTACAATGAGACCACTATATATACAAATGGTAATGTTTAAACTTTGTGTGTGTCTACACATCTAGTGACCTATGTGCGTGGGCACATACATGCATCAATATAGACACATGTCTATGTCCCCAGTCACTAGACACCAGCTACTAACCTCCCAGGAGCACATGGTTTAACAAATTCCAGCACTCTACACATACACACACTCTTCATCACAGCTACTTAGCTACTGAAAGTAAAAGCCGCCCCCACCACTCCCTCCCCCTCAAAAAGAACCCCGTATCTTAAAACAGAGTAAAGGACACCTTCTTGGCCACAGTGGGACTGAGCTCTGGCAAGGCTCTTTCTTAGCCATCTCATTGGACAAATGATTGCTGTTCTCAGCAAGCTACCACTGCCTTCCTCATGAGTGCGCTAGAAGGCCCACCCCTTTCTGGGCCTCCTGACCAGTGAATAGCTCCGGTGGGGGCGGCACTTGATGAACTGTAAGGTGCAGCTGTCACACAGGTGCTAGGGAGTCAGCTCGGACAAACTGTGGCCCTAGGAATAGCAGAAGGAAATCGTCCCTGATCCTGTGCCATCCTTACATTAATTAAAACCATAATCAAGCTGTCCAGGAGGGGTAATGCCATTTAATAAGCAAAGTGCAAAAGCAAACTCATCTGTGCCACCTCCATCTAAAGCAATGCTGGATTCCAAATACTACAGAGATCAGAAATGGAGAACAGACAATCTTGACGCCTTATTAGTAAAACGTAACTTCTGAAGAGGAACATCTTAAATCTTCAAGGGAAAAAAATTAAGGAAATAATGGAAAATATGCTCCCCAAATCCCATCACCACAGTAATCTTCAAAACTGGCAGAATCTATCCCAATTCCCACCTACTGGTGCCGCAGAACCTGCAGAATACAGACAAAGCCGTTTTAAATCACGGATGTATCGCAAATGACACACCCTCATAATATTTGACAGCAGAGAATGGTCCACTGGGCCCACATCCGGGACAAGCCCTGCATCTAGAGCAGATGCGAGGCTGATGTGGCCAGAAGGGCCTCCCCTGAGCCGCACTGACCCACCTGCATCACAAACTCCCTGCGGCGCGGAAGGCCCCTCTCCGTGAGGAGTGTGTACTCCGGCTCCTTCTCCTTCTTCGCCTGCTGGATCTGGGCCAGTCTGCTGATTGGATTCATCCCCTGGCCATAGTCTGGGCCTGTGTGAGGCTGAGCGACCAAAACATAGGAAAATTGGATGCCGTATTATTCACGGAAAGGATCCTGCCAATTCAGAGAGCAGAAGCATGGGAAGATCGCTTTTATATTCACCTAATGGTTTAGGAGGGTCCTGGTGGCCTAGTCTAGAAGGAGCTTCACAGGTTACCCAAAGGTGGCACCTCTCTACTGGCCTGACTCCAACAGTGGCTCCAAAGGAGAAAGACTGGAAACTTCCTCCATTTACAACCTGAGAACCCGATGGAAGGTCAGCTACGAGGGGGGAGTAAACGGCTTACAAGGGATTCCTTTTTTTCCCCCTGCTTTTAAGCTATGTCTTCTCACAATTAAGAGATATTTTATGATCTTCTTAACAACTCAAAACCAGCATTTAATATAAATAACCACCATCATTGTTAGGTAATCTTTTTTTTTTAAGTTTAATAATAAATTGAATATATGATAATGAATAGAGTTAGGAAAAAAAGAAACACTAACCTGAAACTCCCTCGTAAGTGTGGATTATAAAACGAGTTTTCAACTGTCTTAACAATGACTCAAAATCCAAGTGATTTTAAAAGGGCTCAAGCTGACTCCCTGTGGAAGAGCTGGAGACACCAGGGGCTGCCTTCCTGCTCCGCTCCTTCCACACCCCGCAGGACCCACTGACGCGCAGCAATTTCTAGATTGTGCTGGTCAGTGACAATGGGAAACTGCAAGAGTCCACAGACTATCAAAACTTTTGCGTAAGTAAAACCTGGACCTTGATAGACCATTAAAATATCAGAAATTACATGACACTTGAGAAGTCACTGTGTTTTGCACAAACTCAAGGTCTCTGGCAACCCTGCACTCAGTACGTCTACTGGTGTCATTTTCCACAGCACATGCTCACTGTGTGCCTGTCACATTTTGGTAATTCTCACACTATTTTTATGTTTCCGTGAAGCTGCTGCACCTATAGCAGACCCCCAGGGACCCCAAGTCCACTGCTGCCACGCTGTTCCCAACTCAGAGACCACTGCCTACAGTGCAAGGTGGTAGATCTGGACAGGAGGAGACTATTCACTCGGCACGTGTGGAGCAGCCCGTGTATTTGTGAAGTGCCAGCCTTTTGAGATGTCACATCTCTGCCACCAGAGGCTCCTTACTAGACTCTAGTACAGTATAAACATTAATTTAAATACACAGCGAGAACCAAAAAATCGGTTTTAACTAATTATGTAAGTGCTATCTGCTTTACTGTGGTAGCCTGGAATTCAACTAGATATAGCTCTGAGGTGTGCCTAAGTATTACGAAAGATAGTACAACAGACTTTAATGTTTATGAATGTCATCAAATGGAATCGTGTTCCTTCTGGGAGGGAAGGAGCAAATTTAGAGGTTTTTTAATTAGTTTATGATGTGGCTCAAAATGCCAAGGTCTGGTGGTAAAAAGTCTCAGTCCTGCCTGTGTCCCAGGGACCCTGCTCCTCACAATTATCTCCACCACTTTCATGGTCAAAGGGACTATCTAACCACGCTCAAACACAGACCTCGAGGTCACGACTACCTCCTATGATCACGGGCTGCCATGCAGACCCTGTACAACTAATGTGTGCAGCATGTCCACCGGCCTTGGCTCTGTGAGAATGAGGTAAGGCAGCATCTGCGGAGGTTTGAACACGTCTGTGTGGGTGGTGGTGGTGCCTTAGTTCTCACGTCCTTTCACCTGCGCCGGCAGTGAGTCCTCTACATCTACCACAGCAAGGAAAACACCTTCTTCATCGGGAAGGGCCCTACCTTGACTATGGACTTGGTTTTCTTTTTGATTCTGGGTTTCACACGTTCAACTGTGGGCAGAGGCGGGAGCTTCTTCAACTCCTCAAGGACAGCAATCGCAGCGTTCTTCTTCGAAAGCTTCTTGCTCTTCCCCTCACCTTCCCCTATGAATTCCCCGACTGATACCTTGGTCACAAAACTCTTCATGTGAGGCGGGCCACTCTCACGGGCGACCTGTTTTAGAGGGAAAGACTGAGTGAAAGCGTGACAGACACTTCCCAGAAGCGAAAGGGCACACTGCCTGGCACAGGTGAAACAAGGGCCGGGGCGGGAGCCGCGGACAAGCACGGAGCACACAGCTGAGCAAAGGAACAGAAGCACCTTCAACGTTCTCCCTCCTTTTCTTAGTTTCCAAACTTTCTCTTTTTTTACTGCAATAATCTTTTCTTTTTTTCCCCTTTAAGGCTACAGAAATATCTGCACATAAACAAGGCAACTCATTCTCATACTAAAAACATCCCCCAATTGTACAATGGTACAACCATCCTGTAAGGCAGTTTGGCGCTTCCTCAAAAAGCTGAACATAGAAATTCCATATGACCCAGTTATTCCACTGCTTGAGAAAATAAGAACTGAGGCTCAAACAGAAACTTGTACACCAATGTTCATAGCAGCATTATTCACCATCACAAGAACAGCCCAGATGGCCAACTACAAATGGATTGAGAAGCTATGGTACTTTCATTCAATAGAATACTACACAGCACGCAGGAGCAATGACTTTATAAATTACTACCTAACTTAGGAGGGACTGGAAAGCATTACGCTGAGTGAACTAACTCAGCCCCACAAGGACAAATCCTGTATAAAACCATTATGGTAGAGTGAGTATGAGGATCCAAGGCGGGGGGATGGTGGAAATAGAGGGGTGAAGGGGGGTAGGGTGTTAATTATATCATAGGGTTGTACAATTCAATAGGTGGGTAGGGTAAAGGAAATGGGAAGGATCTTTTGTGAAGAACAGTGTATTAAAACTCTGTAAATAAGTCAGAATAAATTTTTTAAATTATTTTTATTTTTTTATTTGTGTGTATGTGTGTATACCGTTGAGTCAGATCCGACTGGTACAGGAGGAGATTGGCCCTCCTTTTCCAGCAGAGCATCTGGAGGATTCAAACCACGAGCCTTCAGGATTGCAGTGCAGCTTCTTGCCATTAGGCCACCAGAGCTCCAGAATAATTTTTTTTTCTCGCCGACGTTCCAGAATAAATTTTTTAAAAAAACAAAACATCTTCCCACAAATGGCCAGTACCTTTAGTCAGATTCTACAGTGTGCTGCGCCACACTTTGTTTTCTCGGCAGGCTGCAGGTAAGGTCAAATTTTTCTGGAAATATCAGCTTCTTACAAACTGTCTCCTTGATGGGTAAGTACTGGATGTTTCACTGGGTTCCGTGAACAGTGAAGGTGACATATCAAACGTGCAATTTTGCTTTTTTGTGCTATACGTTCCCATAACATGTCTGTCTGGCAGCTCGGTCAAGTCCTGTATCACGCATTCTGATAAGCACCTCATCAATTCTCAAGAAAAACCACAGCAACGGGAAAAGTTGGAAGGTATTGTGCTAATTTTCACACTTGGGCTTGAAACCACATGATCATGCAATTCATCCTCAAACACGATAACTTCTTCCAAAAACTTAATTTGCTCTCTGGCTTTCCATTTCTCTGTATCTATATGATGTGTTGTAAGTATAAGCTTCAACTTGAGTGATTCTCCAAATAATGTTCCCTTATAATACTGTGTATGTTGCATCTGTCCAATCATATGGTTTAAAAACTTCAGCCTGTTTATCGTCCTCTGTCCTCCTTTCCCACCTCCTCAGCACGGGCTGCTTTACGCATTCCTTGGTAGCTGTTCACGCATCTTAATACATCTGTGGCACTGAACTCAATTCCAAAGCCAGAGCCACGCTGGATCCTCAAAACATTCTCTCCAAACATCATTTCCGGCAGAGATGGCATATGCAATTCATCTGCTAACGTCTCCACATCTGCTGACTTCAGGATGTGGGTCTTGGTTGCCGTCACTTCCAGGGACCAAAGGAGAAGTCCTGGTGGCTGCTCTGGGAGCCGCAGATCATCCTGGCTAAAGTGGGACCCCCAAGCATTACACAGAACAGGCTGCAGGTGTAGAGGAGGCTGAGGCAGCAGCGGGCACTGGTTCCTCCAGCCCAGCCCCCTCAGCTTCTGAGCCGTTACCATGCCTAGCCCCGCCCCGAGCCGGGCAACTCAAATTTTTTTTTCTTTTTAGCAAACACTGACATTGTTTATTCACTAAGTCACAGCAGTTCAATACACACACAGCGGGAAAATATACAGACCACTTTCTCAGATGTCGGGAAGAAGACTTTAGGAATTTGGCAAGCTATTGGCCGTATCATGATCATGGAGAAGCAGTCAGAGATTCTAGCAGTAATGTTTCCTGTTAGTTTCTCACTAACAGATTCTAATAGGTAATACATGTCACTGCAGCTAAAATCATCCATAATTTCTTGCATCTTCTGCTCTCTTCTTGATGAAGAGAAGTGAGCTAGTCACTGACTGTAAGGCAGAGAATGGGGTCAGGCACTCCTCCCTATTTCTAGAAATCAGCCCGTTAGAAATAGCACAGTCTGTTTCTTCAGGGTGACTGTCCAGGACATGGGATCTGTGACTTGGCAGCGTGGACGACGCTGACCCTCCACGGAGTGGGTGCCCCGCCCCCCCCCTGCTGTGCTGCTGCCCTTTTACTCAGCTCCTATCTGATGAGCCGGCTTCCCTGGATGAGCTGGGCCACCTCGCTGGTCGCATGGCACGCAAGCAGGAGCCAGTTTCGAGGCTGGACCTTGTAGGCAAATCTCTTCAATGTCAGAGAGTAACCGTGGAGAGAGGACGTCACCCGGCCGCTGATAATCTCCAGAGACTTCTTCATGTCACTGACAGCAGCGATGAGGAGACCCCAGTTGGCTACTGGCCCTCAGAAGTGCGTGCTCACAAGGGAGTCCCTGAAGGCCTTGCTGCGGGCATAGTCGGCCGCCTTCCGCACCAGCGCGCCCACCATGGCCATGCCAGCCGCCCAGCTGCTCGGAGCCCAAAGACAAGCAGGCCCAAATTTATTTCCTCATGTTCTGAGATGTGATGAACCTAGAGGCGATGACTTCAGCAGACGCTTGGGCATGGGCCAGGGAAGCATCTCCAGCTTCAGGGTGCTCCCCACCCACGGGGCTGCAGGTCAAAGTGAGTCTGTGACAATGTCCTGCCACCAGCAAAGGAAGCTAGGCCAATGAAGCCCAGGAGCAACTGCAGCACAGAGTTCAAGTTTAAGAGTCACCCTGAGCTCCTCGCCAAGACTGAGTTTATGAAAAGTTTTCAAGTGGCTGTGCAACTGTGAATTAAAAATTAGGAGAAACCCCAAAGCACTGAGGAGTATTTCTACTATATATTTAGTGAAAAGGGGAAACTGTAAAACACAAGATGCGGCATGCTAACTTTTGAGAAAGAAAAGAGGAGCTGCATACAGACACAACTTTGCAAAACAGGAAATGCTGGAAAAAGACAAGATCAATGAAATGAACTTCTACAAGTGCAGGGGTAGTGTAGTGGACTAGGGAATGCCTCAAAAATAAAAAACTGCTCACCGAAGCAGTATCACAAAAAACTTTAAAAAAAGCAAGCCAGAAAATGGGGACTGTATGTACAATAACCGTATCTGACTGATTTCTTATATCCGGAATATTTAAAATTAACCCCTGCAGGCCAATAATGAAAGCCAAATTACTCAATGTAAAAACACTGGTCAAATCCTTGAACATAAACTTCACAAAATAAACTATTTAGATAAGTATTAAATGTATAAAAAACTGAAATGCACTTGACTGATCTGCCATGGTTACGGGACTATAACTCAAAATCCAACTCAAGCGATCGAGTCAACACTGACTCCTCACTGCCACCTTCTGCTGGGTTTCCGATGCTGGAAACCTAAACGGGAACAGAACGTCCACCTCTCAAGGAGCTGCTGGTGGGAATGAACTGGAGACACATGGTCTCTGGATGAGCAGCACAGTGGGCTAGGCCACCAGGGCTCCCTTCCACGACTGTGTATGTGGATCAAAACACATCAGCTGTACGTTAAAAGGAGTGAATTTTACTGGATATAAATTTTACATCAAGAAACGATCTCTTAAACAGAAAGATAAGCGGAATGGTGGAATGAAATAAAAAGCTATGTATCTACACTGACACAGGAATGAAACATAAAGGGGAGAAAAAGAAGTTTTTCTTTTACAGTAAAAGGTCAGTTTGGAAATCTGTTACTCGCACAGCATTAACTGAGGGTGGCAGGAGCCTTGATCGGGGAGCTCTGTGGGCACAGGGCATCCAAGCAGCCTCCACTATGCCCCCACGGGTTATGAACTCATGACAAAAGGAGAGTAGTCTCCTTAGAGTGAAGCACATCTGGAATAGACCAGGGAAACAACAGACAGAGTTACATCACCGACGCTGGCTGACAGCGACTTACTGGGATGCTCCGAACACTGACATCCAATCAGGAAGAAATAGATTAAAGCCAAAGTGAGGGCTGACCTTTGAAAATGTCAGTGTCACAAAAATAAAGCTGAGGACGTGATAATCAGTCTAGGAAACTGAAAAGACGTTTCAACTAAAGCATGCTTCAACTTGCAAAGAAAAAACGTCATGTCTGAAACATGACTGAGACACTGGGCAAAATGGGAATGGAGCAGGTATATTCAGAAAAAGACTGCAGTGCAGCACTATGTCCCATATTCTCTAATGAGACTGTTGTCTGTTGTTCTGTGCCTGAACCAACACATAGCTACCCCTCCAGTGAGTTTTCGGAGGCTGTAAATCACTTTGGAGGAGACTTCCCATCCTTCTCCCATGGAGCAACTGGTGGGTTTGAACTGAGTGCCTTTGGAATTGAAGATTCTAGAAAAACATCCTTGTTCCCAAGGACACATGTTGAAGAATTAGGAGTCAAAGAGCATGACATCTGCCACTTTCAAATGGTGCAGCCCAAGTAAAAAAACCCACAAAACCAACTGCCAGAACTAAACAGAAATGTGTATGTTTGCAGGGAAGAAAGCACAAATATGAGGAAATGTTAAACATGGTGACGAGAGATGAAGGATTCGTGCATGGTCATGGAAGGACATCAGGAAAAACACGGATCAAATCAAGGCTATGAGATTTTAGGGGGGTCAGCACAGGGGCTCCACAAGGGAATGAGGGGGTCTGCTACTTGGGTACCCACAGGGCTTCCAGCCACCCTTCCCCCATCAAGCATGCGCACACCCCTATCCACACACACATTCTCATGCCCACAGCAGTCTCCCTGGAAGGGTCCCCCCAGAAGGGTCCTTTCCACCTCTTTAGATCAAACTCAACCGGAAAGGACAAGGTCCTCACCAGCACCCCTCAGTGGTACTCCACCTGGGCAATGGGCAGTACTGCCCCTGGTCTACACACACTGAGCACCAACACACTTCGTGGGCAGCAGCGCAGTCTGGAGTTGAACATACACTAAATTCAGTGCACAAGACCCAACTGCTTCCCAATCACTCAACTGCTTAACATCATCACATTTCCTACAAAAACAACTTTCCATTAAAAACCTGACCTGGCTGCACATGTGACAGAAGGCAATCTCCCCCTGGGCGATTTATGGAGGGCCAGCTATCAGTCATGACATGATGGCACCGACTGAGACCTCCCAGGGGGCCCTGGTGGTACAGTGGTTAGTGTGTGCTTGCTAACGGAAAGGCTAGAAGCAGAAGCTGCTAGCCACTTGGCAGGAAAACCACACAGAAGCCCAGCTCTGTAGAGTCCAGTCCTGGAAAGCCCCATCTTACAGGATCACAACAAGATGCATTAGCCTAACAGCCGTAGGGAGCTGGTACCTGCCCAGCAGCTAGTGCTTCCTAAGACCCTCAGCACTCAGCTGGGAAGACAAACGGAAATGCCAGGGAACCACTGTGCTATGTGCCACTCAATTTAAAAGCTTAAAAACGAACACTGTTATTAAAAGTTAGGTTGCTATCAAGGTGGAAGGGCCGGGGCATAGTGGGGCGTAGTTCAATAGTAACTGTAAAAGACTACAAAACTGAAGTCTTTCATAGCATGATAAACTGTAGAGAGGCTTTCAAACAAGCACGTCTTAAGCAGCTCATATTCTATTTGCCTGAGGTAACAACATTTGCCAAAAATCTGTATTCTGTGCCCTTGGGTTGGCAGTACAAGGGACTTCTGGTGGCCTAGTGGGAAAAAGCTGCGCTGCAATCCTAAAGGCACACGTTTGAATCCACCAGGTGCTCTGTGGGAGAAGGATGGTCACTCTTTTCCCATGTGATTTACGGCCTCTGAAAATCCTGTCAGCTATGGGTCGGTTCTGACTCGACAGCACACAATACTACTCAAACAGAAAGAAAGAATTCTCATTTGACTTCCTTACTGGGATCTACAGTCTTTCAAGGAGACATATTAAATGCAAACTTAATTTTACATTTGAACTATCAAAGTATTCTTAACATTTTAGACAACAAAGACTCCAGTGACAAACGTGAACATGGGGAGGGACTAGAGGCACGCAGGTGCTGGACAGGGTCCACTTCAGGAAGCTCTGAAGTGGGCTGTGTTGGATTTTTTTGGTAACAGATACTTTGAGAGCAATGAAAGCAATGAATCCTTTTCTGCAGAAAAAATAACCTTGTCAAGGTAAGCACGAATCCCTCAGCCCATGCTAAGAAGCCAGCAGACCCGAGCATGGATGCTGTCCGGGGGACCATCCAGAGACTCATGAATCCTCAAGGTAAGGACTCAAAGAGAGTGTAATAAATGCTGCTTTGCCAAGTCAGTCTACCATTTAAAACTGATGCTCACATGTATGCATTATTCCTGTGTTACAGGAGGGAAAACATTCTTACGATGAATATCATTAGCCTGTTATAATACAAAGTCTTATGTGTAAATTAAGCTTACCTCAAAATTCACAGGCAAGTTCCTTTTAAGTGCAATCTCAAACACTTGACTTATTTCCGATTTATTGAGATTTTCTTCTTCCGATTCTCTTCCATTTACCTAAATGGAGAGTAACTGTTTTGTAACTCCTTGAAATGCTTCAACATTCATCAAATCTTGCCTTTGTGAATTTAACATGAAACCAGTGAGTAAGGCAGCATGCGTACAATAGGTCCCTGGATTTTAAAGTTTAAAACGAAAACCTGAGTTGGACAATACCTCACAAAACCACCATAAACAATCTAAATGTACCAGACCTTTGGGTGTGAAGGCCTAATTGTGGGGCAGAGACACACCATTGCTGTTTGGGAGCAGAGCCTTCAAAGCACTGCTCACAAGTGATGTCACCACACATTTTGCAAAAGATAAAACACAGGCAGAAATGTGTGGGACACCAAGTCCCAAGTCTTTCCATCTAAAGTTTACAGTTTTACACTTCGATCTGAATTTCCTAGAAGCTGCTTTAAAGAAAGGATGTGGTCAAACAGAAAGTGGTTAAATAGAAATTACAAAACTGCTGTGTTGCCAATACGTCATACTCAACAAAAATTCAAGGTGCAAATAAACACAGTCTCCCAAAGTAAGGAACTGATCCTCCAGATAGGCCTGGGACTAGGGGCGACAGAGCTATTCCATCTGCGTGGATCTGATGCTGTGTGGCAGCAGTACTCTTGAGAGGAGTCTTGGTGCTCAACTATCAACTGAAAGCACAGCAGTGATTCCTTGGAAGAAAGATGAAGCAGTCTGCTTCTGTGGAGCTCAGCCTGGAACACCCTAAGGGCTAGGTGTACCGAGTCCCCTAGGGTAGCTGTGCATCAGAACCACCTTGACGGCAGTGTGGCTGCTTTGGGCAATTGAAGACCCTCCCTCCCTCCCTGCCACTAAGCTTGTTCCAGCATAAAGCACTCCACTGGGTTTCCAAGCCAGTAAATCCAACAGGAGGAAAATGCTCATTTTTTCCTCCTTGAAGCCACTGGTGGATTTGAACTGTCGGAGCCTCACAGCCTCTGAGGTACCATACACCACTAGATCTCCTTCTAAGGAACAGCTCAGGAATAGCAAAGCTTCTCAAAACATGAAAAGAGGGTGTTTTTCTTCTATAATTGGGTCATTCTGTCAAAGGATTTGCACAACTTGTCTCTAAGATTAGGACTTTTTGACAAAAACTCATGCCTAAAGCTGCTGAATGGGCAAAGGTGCAAACGACACAAGATTCTTCTGCTCATCAGTCATGTCCAAGTCACAACTGACTGAAGGAAACAAAACTCCAGGTTAAAACCAACAGACAAAAATCTGATTCATGTACTGCAAGATATAAATTTTCCATCTCAATTTCTTCTCTTTGTTATTATAGATAAAAAAGAAAAATTCTAGTTTTTCAGGTAGGATCAACGAAAGCAAAAATGGTGCGTGATCAGTCTTTTTGTTTTTTGTTTTTTTTTTTGTGATCAGTCTTTTTGGAACACAAAGCACACCAAGAACATCAAAGGATGGTGAACTCAAGAGCAGACCATTTCTTTTTCACTAGTGTATCATCTCAACAGTAAAAAAAAAAAACCAACAAAAATCCCCATCACCAGAGCAACAGCCAACACCATGTGGCGGCACTGCTGCCAAGTGCTGTCTCGTCGTGAATGACTCCTAACAACAAATGGAGAAAAGACTGTCGTTGTCAATGATTCCATTCTACTTGGATCCATAATCAAGACCCATGGTTACAACAGTCAATCAAAAGACATGTTGCAAAAAAAAAAAAAGACATGTTACACTAGGAAAATGTGCTCTCAAGGACCTCTCCAAAATACTGAACAGCAAGAAGGCTGGTTTAAGCCTGAGGTGCACCTGATGCAAGCTATGGTATTTTCAATTGCTTCCTATTCATTTGGAAATTGGACAATGCATAAGGAAGACTGAAGAACCAATGTCTTTGAACTGTGGTGTAGGAGTAGAGAACGGAACATCCCATGGACTGGGAAAAGAACAAATCTATCCACATAATGAAATACATAGTATGACAAACAAAAAACTTCTTAAAACTCAAGAAAACAGATCTCTAAGACTGTCTAACAAAGGTTTTTAAAACGTCCAAAGGCTCCATTATATTTCAAAGACAGATTTTTTTTACTCTGTTCTTTGAAAGATCTCTAAGAAAGAGTAAGTCACACAATTTATCAACTCTTACACTGGAAATGCTTTTAGAAGAAGCTAAAATGAGTAAAATAAAAACTGGGTCTGTGGCCTCTGATAGTCCACCAAGAGTATCTGGGGGTCCTTCACATTTGCAGGGAATCAGGTCTAGGATGCCACTGATAAAACCAGCTCATGCTCGTACAGGCCTCTCACAGGAAGTGTCGCAGGACTTGCATTTAACTAACCTATGCACCTCCTCTTGTACATTCTAAAGCATGTCTGCATTAGTTACAACACCTATTACTACATAAATGCTAGGGATCAAGCACGCTCCACTCCGCTTAATCCCCATGGGATTGCTATTTCCCCTTCTGGAAGAGTTGTGGTCTAGGGGTGGTTGACTCCGTGGATGCAGAGTCCAAAGGGCATAGCAGGCAGCCTGCAGTTTGGGTTCTACTTGGTAAAGGCAAGAACTCAAAAGCACAAAGAGCTGCCAGCCTCGTGTTGAGCTGCCATCAGTCACCTCTGACTCAAAATGATCTCATGACAATCAGAACAAAGCCCTGCGCAGCTTCCTCCCGGGCCATTTACAGCCGTGGAACCCCAACGGAGGGTCAGCTATGAGCCAGCTCCGACCCAACGGCAGTGAGGAATAGCAGCAGCCTACACTTATAATCCCGCTGGGGAAAATTTCCTTTGCTACATTAAGGGTCATAATGGTGCAGGGAGTGTTTTAAGCTAGTTATCTTTGAGATAAAGCCTGCAAAGGCTGATGTAAGGCGGGAACCTGTCAGAGAAGGAAAATGAAAATATTTTCCACTAATACAAATGAGAAAAGTGGCAAGATTGCACTATCAGAGGCAAAATATAAAGTCCTGAAAGAACCCGGAAAACAAGGCAATCTTGTCATGTTCTGGCTCTCACAGACAGCAATGTAAGAAAAAAAGCAGAAATGGGGTGGATTGCTAAGGCATCAAGCACAGACTGAGGCTGAGGACCGACAAGGGACTTCTGGACAGTAGGGCCAGGCTTCCCTCGGAAGATGGCACCAAACTCAAACTCCTGGCCTCTTACAGTCAGAGAAAATGAGTATTTGTTCAAGCAGCCCACCTGTGGTTAACACCCTAGAAAAAGAAAACTCGCGGGGATGTAATTCCTAACACCCTCCTGCTCCGCCCAGCGCCTAGGTGTCTCCAACGGCCTTCCCTTTACCTCCAGCCTCTCAGGAAGGGGCTCATTCTGCAGAATCCTCAACGCTTTAGAAGCAGCATCGTGCTTTGCGGCCTGTCTTGTCCTTCCTTTTCCATTAAACTGCTGTCCTCCCACAGAAAGTTCAACTTGATAAAGGAAAGGTGGAACTGAAAATGGATAAAAGTACCTAAAAAAAGAAAAAAGGCCGTTTAGCTTGTTCAATCTCAGACTGGTAGTTTTAGATTCCTAAATCACTTATCTAATCTCTAGCTCTGGTGGCCTAGTGGTAAGGCGTCCCTGCACTGGCAACCCAAAGGTACACAGTCTGAATCCACCAGATGCTCTGCAGCAGAAAGATGGGCAATTAACTGCCTCTGAAAGCTGCTGGAGGGTAAGCTCTGCGTCAGCTCTGACTCTACAGCACACAACAACAATCGCTAGCAAACTTAGGTATTTGAATTATCATAGGTCTTAATTACATCAGTATTTGAGGCTAATAATGACTCCTCATGAAGATATCCACAGATTTTGTGAAAGATGAAACTAAAATTGCCACACAGTATGAGTGAGAATCATTCGGACACACCACTTATAAATGACATACTCAATTTTCAATGTTCATTTGTACTTAGAAAGTGTAAAGTGGATCTGGCTTTGTCTAAAACAGAAATGGAATAACTTGCTTTGTTTTTTCACACCTGACATTCACTTTTGTGTGAGGTTTCTGGGAATTTTAAGGCAAAAATCTTTTGGGAGGGTCTCACTTTTCTGGAAATTCTACACTCTAAGAGAATCTGGTTTCTTCTATTTCAGTTGTATTTTCAAAATAGTTTTGCCCCCGAGAAGGGCAGGGAAATGAAAACTTCCATTTTGATCCTGAATCTATGCACTTTTATCTTATGACTGACAGCAGGAGTGCTAAAATAGGGCATTTTGGAGTTTTAATTACTACTTTACTATGCCTGTACTCCCAAATTATTTACAAAGCACACAAGTTCAAAAGTCATAAAACACCCAGCAAACAAATTCTATGAATGCTTAAAACACACGGTGCTTGAGAGTTTTCTAACGGTTCAGGCAGAGTGCAGTGACAAGCGGGATCTTTAACCAGCCTGCTTGGGGCACAAATTGCACTGCTCGTGAGGAATAGCACTCGTGTTCTTGTCAAAGACAGGAATTAAGAATACCGAGATCCAGTTCCTAAAGCTCCAAGAACACTTAAGAATGACCAGCCCCTGGCAGCCCCGAAGGAAACCAAGCTATTCCTCGCTTCAGGACTGATAAGCCACCCAACATGCTACCGTCACGTTGATTCCAGCTCACAGCAATCCCACAGGATAGAGGTGAACTGCCAGTGGAATCTCCAAGACTAAAACTCTTTAAGGATGAAGAATGAAGGGCCAGTGGGTTCAAAACAACCCACCTCTGGTTAGCAGCCAAATGTTTCATCACTGTGCCACCAGGGCCTCTTTGACAGTCTTCAGAGAAATGTTATTTTATTATTCTATATAGAGCATCTAGCATCTTTAACTTTTGCCTGCACTTTACAATAAACTAAACCACGTACCTCGGGGGATAAGCACCTCCTCGCATGTTGTAGCTGTAGGTGGACTGCATCCGAGAGTAAGGGTCAACAGGCTTGTACATTGGTTTTTTTCCAAGTTTCATGCACAGAGCATTTAGTTCTACAGTTGGAGTTATGCTTTCTGTAACAGAATCAACAAAACAAAAGGTTTTTTCCCCCTTTGATGGAAGAGTAATGATTATTATCATAAAACAGAAAAGAATAACATGCTTTTGACTAAGTGGACTGAAGATGCATTACATAAAATGGCCAAAGGGCTTCACTGCTAAGCACCAGGTCAGGAATGCAACAATCTGCTGGAGCTTCTAGGTATCAACATATGGTCAATAACACAAAGCATCCTGGGAGGGTTATTAGAGGGAGTGGTAATGTCACCTGTGAAAGTCGTACATTCCGTCAGAGGTCAGTCCCACTACCTGGCAAATTACTGTATAGTTCAGGAATATCTAGCAGCTATAACTCTGATTATATGGACTGGTTATTGCTTACATTTAGATGCATGTTTACACATACTACTTCACAGAATAATGCATTTACTGAGCACTAACTGTATGCAAAGTTCACTAGCAAAATGAAAGGCCCATGGTGCGACATCAGCAGCCACTGTGTGGGAGACGTGCTTCCACAGATTTACAGTACAAGAAATCCGCTGGACAGCCCCACTCTGCTCAGCAGGGTCTCTGTGTCCTACCGCCTTGGGCAGTGACGGGTCTGCATTTTTTGCCCCCTCTAAGTATATGCAACTGTGCTAAGTTTGGAATGACACAGTTTCTGTCCCAGAGGCGTTCAGAGAGCATAAAACACACTAAAGGAGCTACAATGCCAGAGGGTACGGGCCATAAGCAAAGGTGCAGAGTAACTGAGGAAGAGAAAGGAAATTCTGAGAAGTCAAATGAAGACCACAAAATTAAATTCTTTCCATTCTTAACACTTATAATGTCATCTGACCTGCAGTAACACTTGGGAAAACTAGTTCCATTTCCATAGACAACAGAAGATAGTTTATCTTTAATTATGTCAGAATCATCAGCTTTAGAAAACATGTACTATCCATTTTTCAATATTTCCTTCTCTTAGTTCATTTAATTTAGAAACTTTTACAAACTACTTTTTTTGAAAAAAAAACCTCAACGATTAGTGTCAGCACATGATCACATTTAAAAACATTTCATAGTAAACACAGAACAACACTAGCAATGGCAAATTTCAATCAAAATGCACACAAAAATCCACTTTAAAATGTTTCATTAGGATTTATGGGAAGAAAAATATTACTTGATTCTGTACTCTATTAGTTTAACTAAATTTAGTGCATGAACCAAATTTGTAAGAACCTACAGAAGGTTTGCAAAATCAAGGTTATCAGTCTTTCTTCATACTCAAATTACACTTTTAAAAATCATTCATATAATTGCATTTTAAGTATGCCAGAAATTTTAAGATCAGCTCTGATCCAAGAATTTTTCTATACTAGAGAGTATGTCTGAAGGAAGAAAACACAAATCAAAAACAACAGAAGAAGTGGAGAAAACTTCCCAGGTTTGTTCCCACGCACACACAGGGACCCAAAGCACCTGAGAGCCAGCTCTGTCACGGCCCATCCCTACCAACCCCTGCCCCTGCCTCAGAGGTTCCCAACCTTCTCACCACACTTCTCTATCTGTTGTCTCCTCTCTAGGGTCTCTTATTTAAAAAGACATTACTACTTATTAGTTGCATTATTACGTAATAAACATTTAAATTATTCCCTCATTATTTTTAATGACCAGGAGACATGTTAACAATCAGGTGCCAGGATCCCCGTAACACCATTAATGAAACTGAAGCAATTTCAGCTAAGAACTGCATCCCTGAGGATACGCAGACCCTGATCTAAAGAATACAATGACGTTTTCTGAAATCTTAGAAATAATTTGAATGACCACCTCTCCAGACTGCTGAAAAGTGAGTGAGCAAAGGCTGGGAACCACTGCTTTAAAGCAAGGTGAAGTATTCCTAAACATGTGCATTTGCCACTGGTAGTGTACAATCTGTGCTTTCAAAATCAACAAGTTAGTTAAGAAAGAATTCATATACATACTAAATGGGTACCTCTAGACACACTTTGGAAAGTAACCTGTCTTGGCCCACGCATAATACCTGGATTCCTTCCTTCGCTACGAAAAGGGCGCACTATAGGTTTAGGAAATTTTGTTCCTTCCAAAGCTTTGGCAGCAGCTGTATGTTGGGCTTTTTTAATACTAGTTCCTTCAGCTTCCCAGTGCTGATCTCCAAGTGTTAGCTGTACTGTAAACACCTACAAATGAAAATTGTCAGCTCTCAATTCAGGTAACCTGATGGTGAACGTAGTTTGTCACTCGGACCCTGAATACTTTTTATGATTTTTAAAAGACCTGGTCATTAGTTTGGAGATTTATCCCTTTATCCCCTTTTTAAAGTTTCTTGTTTATAGAAGCAGAGAAAGATTTTTTAAAATAGAAGTACCACTGACAAACGCTGCCCAGCACTCCATTAAAAACTATGTTTTTAAAAGGTGAGGGTAAGAACAGAGATGGGGGGGGGAAATTTCTAACATTAAAATATCAGACCCTGATTATTTGGAAAATATTCAAGTAGACACTGTCTTCCCATGACTTCTTGAAGAGATGAGTAAACATGAATTAGACACATCACACTTTCTCATGCAAATTAAGACAATGTTTTGATGCTGCCGTGCATTTGTGGATTCTTGTCTAAAAACATAACCCTCATCACGACGAGAACTCGTACAAATTTGGAAGTGTCATCCAGGTTCTAACACTGCCTTCTACTTTCCTAACATTTTATGGTTTAGACACTGTACACTCAAGCAAACGAAGTTCCAAAGACATTTTCTCCTCAACACAGGCCCATGATGGCAAGCTTCTTTATTGCTTCCAGAGTACAAAGGGTTACCACCATTCTTAAAATTAGGTTACATTAATCCATCACTATTAAATCTATGCCGTCAACAAAAATCTCCAGAACAATGGCTCTTCCAATCTGGCGTCCACTCACAGTGTCACAGGGCACAAGGAGAAGCACAAGCATCCTGGCCGTGCCCCAGGATTCTGATGGAGGAGTGTGAGGGGTAGACCTGAACACATTTATTTTTAATCAGCCCCAAAGTGACTGTGATACACTCTAAAGTTGGAGATTCACTATTTCGGAACTTGGAAAAATCGACTGAAACTTTTATCTCATTTTTTTGCCACAGTCCATCATTTTATTTCACCTACAAATCATTTACAAGGCACTGGAGGTTTAAGCATGTCTCGGTCACTTGTATAAGTGCCTAAGAGAGGGCAACCTGTATTATTTTTTGTAGGTCTTAATGTCAGGATTCCATCAGCATAGCTCCTACTAACAAGTTAAAGAAGCTTTCATCCCCCTTGAAATATTAGGGGTCTCCTCAAGCATTCTATACAGTTCCTGAGGTTGGTTATGCAAGTACCAGTTATGCATGACCTCTGGCCCTGGCTAGCCTGAGACATCAGCTGGCAGGAGCCTGAAATTCTGTGCAATCACTGGGTGTTTTAGAGACCCTTTTGTGGAAAGACACTGAAGGGGAAAAGGCTAAAGAAACAAAACTGAGTTAATCTTATTAATGGCCTTGCCTTTCTCCATCCGGCGCTATCACTCTGCTGCACTCTGAGTGGAGGGTTAGTGGTGACGTTAGACTCCTGATTGTGACAGATTTAAAGGCACACCAGACCTCTGACTTCTTAAAAGTCTAACAGTTACTCAGGAGGAAACAACTTCTCCTCTTTCAGCAACTCCTGAGTGTAAACATAACATGGTTATGAACACAGAAAAACTATCTAAATCATTAAGGTCCAAGTGAGAAAATACAGGTTTCAAAACCCACCAAACAGTTAATAAAGGGAATCCCAAAGTTAAGGCCTGAAAAAAAAACAACTCCTGTAGGAAAGGGCATAATAGTTCTAGAAAATGACTAAGTGCCTTGCAGACAGAAACAAACACTTGGAAAATAATTATGCTTTGGAATAATGCTAAAACAAACTCCATGTCAGGGAGGAATTTTTCCTAAAATGTCTAACTGCTTAATAATTACAGCTACCATTTATTAGATCTTCTCTGTCAGGAATTATGTCCTACACTTTCAATAGTTCATTAATTCTCACAATAGACATACCTGGTCTATTATTATGCTTATTTTACAGATGAGCAAACCAAGGTTCAAAAAAAAGGTACTATCTTCCCAATGGCACACAACTAGTAAAGAGCTGGAGCTCAAACCCAAATCTGTTTGACCCCAGTCAGCTCACCTAGTTGGAGTCAATTTAGAATTTGTGGTTGAGGTTAATTTTAGTGAAATGAAAAGAGAAAACTTCACATTTAAAGTTTGAGGCTTTGCATGTCAAGAAAATGAGGTATAAAGAGATTAACTTAGATGTAATTATATGATCTTTGCTGTAAGGCTTGGACCAGAAACAAGAGGCCCATTCTTAACCTCTAATCCTGTTACCTCTCCTACTCAGTCACAAAAGATAAGCCAGATATGCAAAAAATGGAGCTCCAAAATGTACACTGGCAGAGATGTCACACACATTTATTTATGAGCGTGAATGCCTGAAGAACAAACTAGGAAACTCCAAATTATAGTCAAACCATCATTCTCTGAGGTAAGTGGAATGACAACTTACATCAGAGACAATTTTTACCTTCCATCTTTTCATACCTTGGACTGGACTGCCAGAGTGGCAAACCTGAGTCACCTCCTGTTCACCCAGCCCAAGCTGAAGAGCACATGGTAACAGAAGGAAAGGAGCCAGGGTTTGGCCGCAGCCAGGAGGAGGCCAGAGATGGAAAATCCTGGGAATTGTCTCTATTCAAAATCCTAAACAGCCACACAGCAATGGGGAGTTTAAAAGCCAAATACCCTAAGAAATCTTCCTTTGACCCATTTTGCAATGGTGAAAAAGGAAGCAATTCTTCAAAATCCATATTTTTTATCTTCTGAAGACAACCACAACAGCGTCAAAATAATTTTGAATCACAGCACACAGCACCACTTGCAAAGAAGTAAAAAAAAAAAAAAAAAAAAAAAAAACCAACAAACAACAAAACAATCCTGGTGGTTTATAAATGTATAAGCAGTATGGGCAATATTTACCTTACAGTGAGCTGGACCTTGCTCACGCAAAAGCTTATACTCAGGCTGAATCTTGTTGAAACGGGCTAACTCATTCACAAGACACATTGGGGTTTTCTCTTTGGGGTGTGCCAAGTTAGAAGGAACTGCAAAATAATGTAAGAGCATTGAAGTCAACCAGCAGTGTATGAGACTGCTGCTCTCCCAGAAACATGGAAACAGAGGGACAACAAATGAAGAAATGAGGGTTTAGAGTGGGGTGCAACCCCACAAACCATACAGGGGCATATGCCTGCAGAGGATAATGTCTTGGCATTTTTTGAAGCAGGTGAAGCCAGGTAACCTGGAAGGAGAGGGTATGTCTTCAAAGGAGAGAGAAGAGAAGTCGGGGGAAACTAAATCTCAGCATGCAACCAAGATTAGGTATGAGACAAACCACTGCTAGTGTAACCAACCAAGAGCCAAACAAAGAGGTATTCTGAGCAGACACACTGGTTACTACAATAGCTGTCAGCTGTACCCTTTTCTTTAGTTCACAAAATGCAGCATGCCCATAACACCTCTCCAGTAACGACTCGTTGTCCAGACAGCTAGCTTCTCATTTCTGGGGCCTTCCTACTCTTTATCTGGAGGATGGACCTTATTATTTCTTTCTGACTCTTCTAGAGTAAAATAAAATGGGCCTGGGGTAGGCAGTTTTACAAAGTCAGTAAGATGGAGACAGGCAGGCGAATTAGAAGAAAAAGCAATATATCCCAGAAGACTGAAATGAGTCTGTGCATTCACCTTTGAAGATGGTTTTATGGGGCACATTTAAGGGCATGTGTCTTTGGGACGTGACAAGCCAAAATTGGTATCTGGTGGGCCCATTTAAGGATTCCTGGGGGTAGTACAGAGGATACTGTGCAGCTGAGTGGGAACAGCAAACATTCTAAGAAAGATTTATAAAGTACAGGAAATGAAAAGATGCAGGAGGAAATGCAAGGGAAATATTCAGGAACAGGAAAGGGCTGAAAAGAATTTGTTCTAATGTGACTCAAATAGAGAGGCACACAACACCAGCCGGCACTCTGTTTATTTAACTGGTCTTGCCACTTTGTCACGAGGTAGACAGAAGTACTAGTTTTAGACTAATAAAACCCACTCTAAATATTTCAAATATTTCTAGTTTTTTCTAACCAATGAGTGGCTTTAGTTCTTTTTCATTTTCTTTATCAGATGTGAATGCTTCTAAACTTAAAATAAATCTCTGCTTCTTTAGCTATATTCTAATTGCTTTGCACAGAGGTTTCCAAACTACCTCTGGAACTTAAAACTCACTTGTGTAAAATAAAAACTAACACAAGTCAATACACTATTTGCTCCCAGCAAAATCTGGCTGCTCCTTTGCTTAAAATAAAATCTACAAACATACGAAAAGAAGGCTTGCACAAACAAGAGTCCTTTATCAGTTCTACGAAATAATTTTAAAAGCAGAATTTTCTCATACAACAATGAATATCAAAAGTGGTATTTAAGGTCCACTACTTTCTGCCAGTCATCATTTTATAACAGACTAGGTTTTCTAGCTTAAATAATTTTTAATTCCTTTTCTTACAATCTTGAAATGATTGGCCAACTGAGATCTGCAACAGCCCATGTATAACCATTATTTTATATCTAGGATAAAGAAGAGTATTTGTTAATACTTTCTTTTGTTTCTTGAAGGTAAATTTGGAAGCTCCCTACATCGGCAAACCTACTCATCAGATCAGAAAACAGGCCGAGAAAACATGAAATAGAATACACTTGGATTCACACGCTTACCTGCAGCTGCACTGGTGGATGTGATAGATGCAGAGGGTAAAGCAGAGTTTTGAATAGGTCTACCTGCATTTTCAGAGGGCAGAGAGCTAGTAGTAGAAGGAATACTCATCAAAGGCTGTGAGAGAAGAGACTGGTTCTTGTTCAGTATTTGGCTCCCTGAGAGAGCAGCAGATGGGTTCTGAACTTGCACTTGAACTTGAGACATGGTCACTTTCAACAAAAGTGAACAACTGCAGGTAAACAGCTTTCAGTGCAGGTTAATTCAGTGCTATGAAGTCTAAAGTTCTACCTGAAAGTTGTAAGGGAAAGAAAATAAAGAGGTAAATTATAGAGGAGATATGTAGCTGCCAATATTCAGTCAAAATCGGTGTCACCTATTCAAGTACAAAAATAGCCCCATTTAGCATGTAGCTGGGTTGATTATTAAAAACACAGTACTCCTTGGTATATGTAAGTTTCTTGAGCCTGTGACTTTATCACATTTTTTTAAATTAATTTTACTACCCACATATTCTGCATGCTCACTTTACAATGCGATTCAATAGGTTATGGTATTTATAACTGTATGTTAAGAATTTTTAACTAGCTTGTACTTGAAAGGGTCAGTTTAAAAGTATGGAGAGATTTTTCTATAATACATAGGATCCAGTAAAGGTATCCAGTCTCAAAATTACAATAAGCTGAAAGCAAACTGGGAAGGTAATATAATCATAGGTGAACATTTACACTACTTCCATTCAAGAGCCACATGCTCAGATCAGCACCAGGGCCATTTTTTCTTTACAATGTCTGAAGAAAAGGAGCAATTTCTCACTTCTGCAATTTCTTTTTCTTTATCGTAATAAAAGATGTATTTGTTTTCCCTAAGAGGTTTGCACGACATGGTCTCATTCAGCTACAGACACCCACACCAATGTTCACAATCCTGAGAAGAACTGAAATAGCACAGATCATTCTGTGATGTGTGTACTACTTAAAGCAAAAGCAGGAAAGCTGAGCAAGAGAGGAGCAGATTGTAAACTGGTCATTTTAAAGGTGTGACTGGGACAGAGCAGTAAGGGAAAGAATAAAGTACAAAAATGGTTTACCTTTATCACAGGATATCAAAGATACCATTTCTAAGTATATTTCAATTTTCTCCCCAAGATGAGTTCTACTTTCATGGCCATCCTTCAAAAGTGCAAATGTTTTAAGTGAGTCCAAACTACATGAAAATGACCAGTTGCAACAAAGACTAGAAACAGCAGGTCTCTCAGGAAACGGTTAACCAAAGGAGAAACCAGTAAACCAACATATCAAATCCCCTCTGGAATAATGGGTTTATTTTTGCCAAAGTCTTACTGTGAGTTTTAGTCAGAGGGAGACATCTCAAAGAGCAGAACCACCAGAGGTATTCAGGAATTCTTGAGGAATTCTGGCACATTCTCTCTTGCTGAAGCAAAAAAGGGCTACAAAACTGCAGAGAAACTCCCCTAAAATGTCTCTCTCAGTAACAGAAACATAACCATTATTTTACTCAACAAAATTTATCAATACTATAGTGTTCTTTGTTTACTGATAAGTACTTTTTAAAATCAGAACAAAATTGAAGCAATCCACTGAAAATCTGCTAAAAGTCTTGGCAGACCACTCGCTCATTTCAACAAAGACGGTCAAAAGAATTCAAATCAGCTATGACCTGGTTTCATGGTTTTCTTTTTCAGCTGCCAAAATATAAGTAAATCAAACTCATTCAGTTCCTCTCCCCACTTTCTGAAATGTCTTGAGGCTGTTTTAATATTTGGGGGGAAAAAATAATTTATGATGTACTCACAACTTCACACCAAGCACACAGGAAAGGGTCTGCTCCAGAGTCTACCCTCTTCCCGAGAGGTGCCCAGCTCTGCCAGGCTGCTGAATGAACACCTAAATTTAGAAAGGGTGGAGTGCAAAGGGATTTCATCTGGCTGGTGCTGTCTACAACGGGCCCCACGCCAAGCATATTTAGTCAGACATTATTAACACAGAGGTTTTCCAGAAGTTGAAAATGGAACCAAGAAATGGAACCACCTTAATCAAGATGCCCAAAAACTGTTAACTTCATCTTCATTACATTTTTCTAACAACTGGTTGAAATAAGTAGCTGAAAACTCCTAACAGCAATGAAAAAACAAAACCAACCCCCTCCAAAGAAGGCTTCTTCCTCCTTTACAAATTTAACTTTTCCAATACAATTAATTCTCAACAAACATAGTCATTTGCTAAGTTAACGTTTCTGTTCTGAGGAGTCTCCAGGTGGTACAAACAGCTGACAGGCTTAGCTGCTAACCAAGAGGGGAGATCTGAGTGGCCTAGAGGCACCTTAGGAGGAGGGCCTGGCAATCCACTCCCCTCAGCAATCAGACACTGAAAACCCTCTCAACAATTGTCTCTGGTGACGGTTACTGAGCAACTGCACGCCTAAACGGAGTATCAAAGGCAATGACCGTCCCAAGACTCTACTATCTGAACATATGCTTAGGTTGCAACACCCCCATGATACATCTTCAAGGATATGAACATGTACGGCTAAGCACAATTAATAACAGTGCATCTAAATTCCAAAATCAATCTCCATAATAGTCTATGTGTTTCCTACTGCCAAAGGGGCCCTTTAGAGTAGTGAGAGAAGATCTTCACCCTGAAACCCACAGCGTCCCTTTTCAGCAGGAAGTAGCTAAGAGAATACGCCGTCCCCTTTTCCTTATGACTCAGGGTGAAGTCTCTCTCAGGGAGGAGTAATAGGGAATGGCAAAGGACACACCGACAAAGGAGATTAATCAGAAATGACTCTGACAAGCACTGTGGCAATTGGACAATTAAAACAGACATTCGGATGGTGGGGGAAGAAGAACAAACTGGGGAGGAGGGTAGAGAGAATGGTGCAGCAATGAAGGAATGAAAACCCAAAATCCCTGTAAATGTTTATTAAAACTAATAAAATTTAATAATAATAAAAAAATTTAAAAAAGGCGTGTTGGCTGCACAGTTCCTTACATGGCACACTTGCTAATTGAAAGGTTAATGGTTCATATCCACCGGGAGCTCAGCAAGAGGACAGGTATTCTCTTCCCATCAAGATGAACAGCCTCTGAAACCCAACAGAAGGCAGTGGAGTTTTTTTGGGTGGAAATACTTTTGGATTAAAATTAGGAGGAACAAGAGGACTGTTGCTGCATTTGGGGTAGATGGGTTTAGAAGGCTGTTTCAAGCAATTATGCTGGTTGACAAAATCTCGCTAATGCAGTAAGTAAGCCCTAGTGGTGTAGTGGGTAAATGCTGGGATGCAAATAGAAAGGTGGGGAGGTTGCTCTACAAGAGAAGAAGCAGGCTCTTCCTGTTGAGATTTACATCTTGTAACCTAATGGAGGGTCGTCCTGAGTCACAAATGCCCCATGGCAAAAAAAAAAAAAAATGCCCCATGGCATGAGAATGGTCTATATTCACAGGAAATGAAAAATAGGTGTCTTTTCACAACCAAAGGCTCAAAAAAGTTGATGCTAATAATTTAGTACCTCCCACCCATGTCAAGAAAGGCACCACAGCTACAAATAGGGAGAACTATAATGCTGGCCTACATTTTAAAACGACTTCTGCTATTTATATATTACATAGCAAGCTTCAGGGGAATGAATGAGATTTTGAAGACATTACTTTCATAAAAATTTTAAATCTGTTGCTTGATGGGTACTCTGTCCTAAAGACAGAACCTTTATAAAAAACTTTTTAAAAGACAGGTTTTTAGGGAAAGTTTTTTTTTTCTTCTTTAGGTCATTAAGCATTATTTTCTACCAGGTAAAGAGGGACTCATGAGACACTGAAATGTTTTGTTAGTCTTCCTAGAAAATGGTGTTTTACAAAGAGTGAAATTATAGTCAAAAGTTGGAAGTTAGAAACACAAAGATTGTTCTGCTTTTCCACTGACTAACCACCCTGCACTGTATCTTTATTTCCCAACCACCTCACCTTCAGCAACGATGAGGTCTTTTCATCTCGTAACAAGTTTTTCCTATTTGAAGGATGTTACAGCAGCTTAGGAAAGCATACTCATCTTACGCTCAGATTCTCTCTATGGTGCACATTGACGTACTTCAACACTAAGGGGAAACAATGGAGCTATGGGTACACCTTTCAAAACATTTCTTCACTCCATGTCCCCTTGATCTTAACAGCAGCTTACGGTTGACAACACAACATATTCTCACAATAAGTCTCACCAGGGCTAGAAGGTCTCACTTTACAAGTGACAAGGTCCTTGTTAGCTGGGTTGTAAGGAAGGTAACTATAAAAAAGCATTTTTAAAAAGGCTATATGACATGATAGCGTTGAGGACTCTCCTTCATAGGGTCGCTATGAGTCGCCTGCGATTCAACGGCACTTAACAACAACAACATATGACATGATGTGGTAACAAATGCTCAAGCACAAAAAGCTTATTTTTCATTCAGCAATGAATCTACTTATTAATTTACAATTACTGTTGTTCTGTACCATAAAGTCAGAACCAACCCACAATTGACCCTCCAGTGGGTTTTCAGAGGCAGTGAATCACAGGGAAGGAGACTGCCTGTCCTTCTCCAGCTGAGAAGCTGGTGGTCTTGAACTACATGCCTTAAGGATTGCAGTGCAGCTTCTTGCCACTAGCCCACCAAGAGCTCTTAGAACACAACGCATGTGCATTTTTAGTAATTTGTTTTAATACAGAAGAAACAGATCCTCTAGAAACAATTTACAGAATTCTTTTCAGTCTTGCTTATTATCCTATTCATCATTAAGAAACCATGATATCATTGTATGAAATCACTACTTCAGTGATTATGGAAAAACATAATTTGTATATCCAACAAGATTAATATATGATTTAAAATGAGGTATCTGTACAGTTGTGTGTGTGCATATATGTTGTAATGCACCAGAGTCGCCTGTGACTCAATGACCCTATGTACAATAACCTTGACACCTGCTCCATCCTGTGCCATTTTATTCTCTCTGACACACCTACCCTCATTACCCCAGTCACTGCATTGATCAATCTCATCAAAGGTCTTCCTCTCTTGCACTGTCCTTCCACCCTTCCAAGCATGATGTCACTCTCCAAGGAGTGGTCTCTCCTTACAACATGCCCCAAGTATGTCAGACAAAGCCTCAGAATCCTTGCCTCCAAGGAGCAACCTGGTTTCACCCTTACCAGGACAAACGTGTTTGTTCTCCTGGCAGTCCACG